TATAAAGTCCACATCGCTGGGAGATGGCCAGGCCTCTGCTCAGCACAAGACCATTTATCTTCCCTGGGTTAGACACTGAACTTCTGCTCCCTCACCCCCCTTTCACACCAATAACAATGTTATCTCATTCCCTAAAGGGCCTTCAGGTCTTATTTGAGGCCCTTTAAAGCCCAGAGCTGAGAGTCTGAATGACACTTTAATTGCAGTGGTTGTGACGAGGGGCCAGATTAACTCTTTTAGGGAAATGTGAACAATTTCATAAAGACAGATTATATCAAGAAGAATGTGCTATTATTGCCTTGGACACTGAAGTTAAAATGCCTGGCTGTCCCTCCCAAAACACTGCATTGTGTCCCTTACCCAGACTAGCTTAGAGGAACCCAACTTGTTTCCCACCAACCTTTGATGTCTGCCACTTCTCCAAACCTTATTTGGCTTTAGTCTTTATCAAACTTTCAGGGCTCTTGGATGCAGGAAAGCCTGTCTGTATCTTAGAATTCAGAAGGAGTAACCCAAGGTCTGCTCATGTCCTTCCAATCCAGTAAGCCTAAGCTTTAAAAAGTACTTTATTTCCTACATCTCATTTCTCTTCCCTGTCTACTACCAAATCCTCCCCCAAAGTGATGAAACAGTTGCTTTTCATTGTATATACTTAAAGGGAACAGCATGTTGTTTTGACTTCTGAAGTCAAATGACATCACACAGCCATCACAGCTTCTGACCACAAATATGGCAACACAGCTTGCACTTTCTAGTTTATAAACTTGTTTTTATACCATCTCTAGCATAAATTCACATATTCATATACCCTCCTTCATGTTCAGGCACCAAATTATATTATTTCTAATGATCCCTCACTTCATAAGGATACTCCTTATGGAGAAAAATGGGTAGTCAGCACTTCTACTAGGAACTCCAACTGCTTAGGTGTGTAGTCTATGACTTAAAGGAAAGTGCCTTTGTTGGCTTTGGTGAGTTAGGCCTAAGGTTTGGTTTTCCTTTACTTCTCCTCTCCACAGGAAGAGTGAAAGTTCTAATGTGTAAGAGGCAGATATGCCCAGGTATCAAGATATCAGTTGCCTATCCCTGCTGTCTAAGCATCTTTTTCTTTATCTCCCTTGATAAAATAGGAATGTTTCTTACACCTAAAAGGAGTATATAGCATTCAATAAAAGGCATCTTTCAGGAGGTGAAAGGGAATGGTAGAGAATTAAAATTCACCAAAAGACAGTTTAGCCATTTAAAGCAGATGCCAGGCTGTGCTAACTCTAGAAGATAGGGGGTAATGAATAAAGTCAAATCTTATATTTACATGAAACTGAAATTTCTAGATGTTAATTTAGTAGCTGTATGGGTCAATGCGCAAATGCTGCCTTAGATCGGGAAATGATTAGGGTACAGTTTTAAACTAATTTCTTAAAATATATTTCAGGATGTTACGGAGTTCTTGTGTTAGTTCTGTGGTCTGGTAAGTTATAAAACTAAACTAAATGATGTGCAACAAACTTCCCTTCTTCATCGTCAGCCTAATCTAAGGTGCTTGCTTAATTCCTAAGGGGAGAATCTAGAAGATCAGCTTTCCCAGATGCCTGTGGCCAAGAAGGCCCTTCCTTAGAGGACCTTTCCAAGAAGCTTCTGGGCCCTGGAACAAGCTTAGAAAATGCTGACCTCAGCAAAGGGACCTCAGAAGCTGCCTTTGGCCAGAGGTACAAAAGAAGTTTTTGTGGTCTACACCAGGCTCACCCTGGCTCCCGAGGAGACTACACTGAGACATGAGGACAAAGCCTTTTCTCCTGCTGAGGTGTTTGGCTTATGGGTCTTGCTGGGTCTCCTTTGGGGGCCTTAGAGTATGACCATGTTGGTTGTTCTTTCCTTCTTTTCATAATAAGCATTAGTGTGGGGGGGGAGATGTGAAGATAGCAGTTTATTCTCTTGTAAACATTACACTTTGCAGAAAAACAGAGGTGTGGACAGAGAACACAGAAAGATTCAGAGCCTCTGCTTTGACCTAGGTTTGCACAAAGGAAATGTGGGAAATGAGAACAGGTTCTTGGACTTGAAAAGCAAGAAAGGATTGAAAAACTTCAAGTGCCAAGGTGGTCCAGAGAGAAATGCCCCACATCAGTGGACATTCTCTCCAAGACACATTCTTTAAGTTGTGATGTTGGTAGCATAGTGTGTGTGTGTATTTCTGTATGTGCACTAGTACATGAGTACATGTATCTGTATGCATGTGGTGACAACCTTGTCTTTTGCGGTTGCTCCCCATGTTATCTTTTTATTGTTTATTTTATTTTTGAGATTATAAAAGACTTGCATTTGCATCCTTTCCCCTTTCCCTTTTCTCCCTCCAAAGCTTCCTCTATGGGATTCCTTGCTCCCTTTCAAATTCATGATCTCTTTTTTTTCAGTAATTGTTGTTACATACACATAAGTATATAGATATGGACTCCAAAATACTAAATACAACCTGTTCATACTATGTAATATTCCTTATATGTATTTTAGGTCTAAACATTTGGTATTAGATACAATTGATGTGCTTCATTTTGAGACAAGGTCTCACATAAAACCTATGTCTTATCAAGCTCTAAAAGTCCCATCTCCCTATGCTCACCCTAGTGATAGAGTTTCAGACATGGGTGCTAGGTCATGTCTACAGCATAGAAGGCACATCTTTGGCACTAACTGGGTACACTTTTCATTGGCTCCATCAACTGGGAACAGATTTACTCAGAGAAGCTGGTGGGCTTCCTAATATCACCTCTGGTAGAAGCCAGAATGTAGTGAAGCATTCCATAATGCAGGGACAAGGTCCCAGCACCAAAATCTCTCCATCTCCATAGCAAACTATGCTGATCAGGGTTCAGAAATCCTCCCCAGAAGAGCATAAGGCATAGTGACATGTGCAAGTTTCTAATGCTGCTTCCTAAAGCTGGAAAGACCATGTCCCTCCCTCCCTCCCTTACTCCCTTCCTCTCTCCCTCCCTCCCTCCACAGTCCCAGGGCATGAGCTCTTGTATCAGCCAGAACAAACCATTGATCAGTGATTGAAACACTACAGAACCTTATTTCTATCCATTCTAGAGCCTCAAGGCTGAGATGAACACATTGACAGCATTGTTTCCTTCAGGAGACCTGTCTCGTGTGATTCCAGGTGTTCTGAATGAGAAATACCCACCATATCTGCTTGGTCTCCAGTTGGTGGCGTGGTTCGGGGTGTTCCTGAACCTGTAAGAGGTACAGCTATGCTGGACAAAGTGTACCTCTATGGACAGGCTGAGGGGGTGAGGGGGACATTTATAACTTTACCCTACTTTTGCTTGCTCTCTGTTTCTTGTGTGCAGCTGAGATATGGTCTCTCAGCTTTCTGCTCCTGTTAGTGTGACTTCCTCCATTATTATGGATATCTAGCCCTCTGGGGTCATGAACCTAGGTGGACTTTCTTCTTTAAGTCGCTTTTGGTCGTGGTATTTTATCCCAGCACTGGAGATGCAACTAATCCACCAGCTATGCATTGGCACGTGAAAGTGTAACTCAAGTCTGTCTCCACCTCCACTGACTCTGGACTCAACTCTCCCTCCCTCATATCTATGGCTCTGCCTCCTTTGTCTCTCCTAAGACTATCTGATTTCATTGAAGGCTCACCAGGTTACTTCAGGATGATCTCCACTCAAAATCCCTAAGTCACAACTGCAAATATTTTTCTAAGTCGTATTCACAAACACTGACAGGTAGTATTTTGAACAAGCTATTACTAGGACCATGACTCAAAGCATGGCAGCAGAGGTATTTGCACAGAGAATCATGCACAAGAGAGTGGAAGGGGGCCCTCTACATAGGTGATAATTTCCCTACAGTTGTCCTTCATACTTCTGATTCTCACTTTGCTGTGGAGACAGGGTGAAATGTTGGGAACATTTCATGTAGCAATTAAAAAATGTCTGTGCACAGAATATGTATTGTGAACTGAACGCCTTGCAAACAGAAAATTCCAAGCATGGGAGAGTCACAAAATCCTCACTTATTTGAGTTCAGACTTGGGTGTCTACTCAGGGCAAAGACTCCACCTGGACTGTTGGTGGAAAGTCTCATTTTCCTGGGACTGAAGTAAAAGTTGAAAAATCTCTCCAAGAAGCTCTGGAGGCCACAAAGTACCTCAGTTGGAGCCCAGTCCTCGAAATAAGGAACAGTGGACTTCTGTTTTTCAACTGCCCCGTCACCTTAGATTATTCCTACTTCTTGTCTTGACACAACCTTGAAAGCCTGTGCTCAGAGTGGTTGCATCAAAGCCTCAATGGTGTGAGATGGGGCATATTTTAAAATGACAGATCTGAGAAAGAAGCCTTCAGTCCTCTATATATTATTTTAAAGATTGAAATGAACTTCAGAATAGTCTGCAATGCAATGTTTCTCAATAAATCTCCTGTGATAAATTCTCCCCATGTCTAAAGACCTGATTTGGGGGGAAGTACTTGCATCATGCAAGAGAAAATTGAAATATGAACCAGAGAGAGCCTGGGATCAGTAATGCCTTTGAAAGTGACTACAAGATCCTGTTACCAAAGCAAGAATGGTTACTGAGGAGGAGCGATGAATAATCAATTGAACGAAAGGAATCTGCAGACATCAAGATGCTAACAATGGGCTTTCCCATATCACACAGATATTCTGCTGCCTTGGCATTTGAAAGGTTGGGAGGCAGGTGGGAAGGCTTTCTGCCCCAAACGTGTTTCAGTGTAATAATACTTAATACTATGTTTTGAAACCGTTTCCTCTTTTTCTCAGTATTTTCTTGGGACTGCAACCCATTTGTACATAAAATTGGTTGAAAGTGACATTTTGAAAAGTCCAGCAAACATTGCAGCAGACTCTATTTTCAAGGAATATAAAATCAGGCTCTGTTTGACACCTTAAATGTGCTTATGAAAATAGAATGTCACATCTCAGAGGGTTATTCTTGATAGGTTTTTTATGAAAATAAAATAAAATAAACAGACCTCTCCAGGCAAACAGCCTTTTTGTACACTAGTTTCCATGGAAACACTGGCAATTGTATTTTTTCATGGCAAGGTCTTTCTCATGTACTTTAAAACCTGGTTCATGAAGCTCAGTTGAAGATCCTGGGCACTGAGAATACTCTTCATTTTCACCAAGCACGCACAGAGCACCCCTCCTACAAGCAAAAGAGACAAGGCATATAAGTATGCAGCTTGCAGAAAGAAGCCTCCATCTGATCATGAGTCACACTGCAATGATTATTCTTTTCATATAATGCTCTTATTTTGAAAATTCTTTGATTAGAGGGAGGAAAGGGGAGGAAAGAAACTATGTAATTATCCTATAGTCTCAAAAAGAAAATAAATAATTTTTAAAGATATCAAGCACGCATTTATAGTGTTGCCAACAAAAGGAATTACAATACACTTTCTGTTCTTCAGGAAGATGAAAATCAGATACTCACCCTCTCACTATGACTTTCTTCTGAAAAACAACATGGCAAGAGTCCAGCCATAACCCTGAATAGGCACCAGCAACAAAGGTTGCCATTGGCTGAAATAAGTCACTGCGACCTCAAGTGTTCCTTGGCACAGATAGATTCCACACATCTATTATGTCGTCCTCCATATACCCAGTCCAATCCAATCATGGAGTTAAGGTAGGGAGATAAATCCTAATTGATGGTCATATTACAAAATATTTTATTAATAATCTTCCAAAGCTGTCAAGATCATAAAGACAAAGAAAATGTAAGACAAATGTAGGTCAAAGGAGACCTAATCATGAATAAACACATTTCCTAGAATTTATCTTGTTATATAAAAATCTGTGAAAAAATAGTTTCCTGATAATAAAATCTATAGTTTAATGATCAATTTTATACCAATATGAACCATTCAATCAGGAACAATGAACTGTGTTCTCCTTTATAAAAGAAATGAAAAATCTAGTTAAGTTGTATATTAGTCAAGTCTCCACTGAATATATCCAAATCTCAAAAACTTAAAAGAGGAAAAGATGAGCAATCTTAGATATGATAAGGATGAGTTGTCACTTGAGGCAAGTATGAAACGCTCTTCAACCTCAGTTTCTAATGTCACAAAATGTTGGTAAGCATACTTATCTTGAAGAGCTATTGTCAGCATGGAATTGTGAGGTAACATACTTCTAACAGGGTTTAGGTATCAGCCACTGTACACTTAAGGTTATGAATGCTTTCCTGGTTCTTTTTTCCTTGTTTACAGCATCACAATTCTTTGATATTTCTACATAATATTTTCTTCATCTTTCTTTTACAACTCATAGTCTTTAGTGGCTCACATTTGACAATGATGCATGGTCATAGAATTTCCTCAAATAATATGTGATAATAAATAAATGTCTAAAAGGTTAAGGAAAAATATCAATAGTCGATCATCTGAGCTGAACATACACACAAAAAATACTAAAATCAGGTCTGTGAAGTAAACTATCTAGTAAAATTTGAAAATGCTGATGACCACTCAAAGGACAGAGTCCAAAGAATGACCAAGGGAAGCACATAGAACTTGGTCATAACATAATTTTTTTCTTAATAAAAAAATGATCATGGGCTCCTCTTGTCAACCAAAGAGGCAGTGAGGAACTATTCTAATTTTAGGTGTTCCTGGCCTCTTCTGAGAAAGGATAGTTTCAGCTTGTCTTGCTCAATAGCTTTGGTGGATGGAATGATAAAATGAACAAAAGAAAAACTGTCCCAAAATATAAGAAGGAATTATAATCCAGGCCATTCTAAAGAATAAAAATAACAGCAGACAGATGTGGGGCCCAGCTGGGAAGTAAGAGCTCATGCCATAAGAGGTCTTCAGGACCACATGGAGGAGTCTAAACTTCTCCAGAAAACTACTAAATCTGCGGAAGAGATCATTAGATCAGTTACACAGGGAGTATTATAAACAGATACCTTAGAAAATAATGAATGAAAACCAAGAGTTTCTACCTTATGTTACCTCTAAGTGTGAGGTGTATAGACTATTGAGTAAGACAGGTGTTAGTGGAGACATTATGCTCATGAATATATGATACCAGCCAAAGCAAATGTCCTGTGAGAAAGGAATTGGAGTTGTGGTTATTTCACAAGCTCTAAACCAAACATGTGGGACAAACTTCCCTGGATTGCTACAGTTGAAATAAGAGGTGGAAACATGATGGTGTCTACCAGGAATTCTATAGTTTATCAAGGTGTGAGGATCCTTTCACACTTTCTCTTTTTAAACATAACAGAGGAGGTGGTGGAGGTATATGTAAAAGCCAACACTCACAAAGTCAGGTTTCTACTTCATAAGCCACCTTCCTGCCCAATTCTACTAAGTAAGCTACACCAGAATGTCCTTATTAATGGCTGAGTACCTTATTTTTATCTCATATTTGGAAATTCCAGGTTCAAGTTAGTGAGAAATGTTATTTTCCAAAGATCAACTGGTAGGTGCCAGTCCCACCATCAGAGTGGCACTGAAATTCTGGTCACCATTCAGTGATCTGACCCTGAAGACAAGTGAAACTGAGAAGTTCTCCAACCCTGAAATAACTGGGCCCCATTTTCCCCAGGACCTGAGGTACCAGGTATTTTTCCATGTAGAATTGGCCTGGAAATGCAAAGGAAAAGTTCATACAGGGACACAGTGTCTGCTTGGCCTGACCGTGTAGGGCTGTTTGCCTTAACCATACATTTTTTATTGTCCAGTTAAGTTTTGAGTAATTCTGTTGATGTGACTTTCAGCCCTTCCCATGGGCTGTGACTCATTCCACCATCAAATTAACAGCTTTTTTGGAAAATGTGTTTTCATGACTTGGCCAAAAATTTCCATGGCTTAATTTCATCCCTTGTTTCCCACAGAACCTCTTTGAACAAGTCCCATGATTGTGCAAATGAGAAGAGTCTTTATTTCCAGCCGTGGCAATGCCTGACCAACCTATCACTTTCAACTCTCCACAGCACCACTCTTTCGGGCCTTCACCTAGCCCTCCTGTCTACCATCAGTTCTCTCTGCACTGGCGTGCTGCACAGGATCCTCAAGCCTCTGGTCCATTAAATTATTGAAAGTCACTTGGAAAAATAAAATATGCTCAGGCAGTGGGTTATGATGCCTGGAAATTTAGCTAATTTCCCCCTTGCTTCCGTCGTCTAAACGGTGATGCTTTTAAACTAAAGGACTTTCCGTTATCTTCTACCCACAAAGCTAAAGAGCCCAATATGGACAAAATAAAAAAACTGTCTATGAAGTTCACATATGGGGCATATGGAAAGCAGTGTTAATTGAGTACACCAGGATGCAACGTCTTGAGCACTAAATAAGAAAATGTGTGTAGCGTAGTGAACAACTGCTTCTTCAACACTACATAACAAGCCAGCCAGGAGCAAGAGACTAGCACCTATATGCATTACTATGCTTGAATAAATGTACCAGCTGGGTTTGGCTTCAAGCCACAGGTAAGTTTCAGATTTAGTCAGTTCATCTCTCATTTTTATGGAGCATTGTTTCTTCATGGTCATCACTAGAACCAAGAGCCAAACCAAACTATACAAGCACATTTAAGCCTCTGCTTACAGTCTATCCTTTCACATTCTTTTGGCCAGACTATGCCATGTGGACAAGTCCAACAGCAAGGGAGTTGATACACTAACGCCACCCACAGGAGGAGAGCAGTATTTCTGAAGAATCATTCAAACTGTTACATACAGCTTTAATTATTTGACTTCTGACCTAACGATAAAATCATTCAATTTCTAGTAAAGGAAAATTATTTTTAGGAGAGAGCTGGAGATACAGCTCAATGGTAGAGAATTTGCCTAGAATACACAAATCACTGGGTTCAATCTTCAACTGCAAATAATAATAATAATAATAATAATAGTAATAAATAGACGTAACTTTCCTTCCTTTGTCTTTCTAGACTGTTACTAATGAAATTCTCTGGACTGAGCAATTTATCGATAAACGACTGGAACTTATATAGAGGTCCAATAACAAGGGAATACAGATTCAGTGCATAAGAACATCTTCCCTTTGCTTCTAACATGGTACATTCTTCCTGCCTCTTCACAGGGCAGTGTGGTAAGATAGCTTCTGTGAACCCTTCAGTAAAAGTGTTCTTCTAATTCATAAAGATGGAACCTTGTGATTGAACTACTTTCTAAGCTCCTGATCTCTTAATATATTGAATATTTATCTTCTAACACATAAATCTGAGGGGACACCATCATTCATAACATAGCATTACCTATATGACAATTCTCATGAGACTGCAAGTAATTGAGCAACTATTGATAATTACACAATAAAATGTTGTTTAACATTGACTATAAACCAGACAATATTTTGAATTGCTTTACATTCACTAATTTTTTAAAACTAAACTATTTTTAAATACCCTGCCCTATTATTTACTTTATACAAAATACCCTGGACAGAATTAATTCTAAAGAGAATATCTTTCTAATTTATACCATTTAAAACATGTTGGTCTAAAAAATATTCCATCATTATTAATCAACATGACTAGCATTTATTGAATATCTCTAAGACCTGGGTTTTCAAGCAAAGCCTAAATGAAGTGTGATTACTCACTTATGAAGAGTATTCAGAAAAACAGAAACTATAAAAGATTAAGTAACAGCTCAGTGGTGCCAATATGAACCAAGATACGCCAAAGGCCAAAGTCAATATCTTTACAATATGTCCTTAGGTAATTGTGAAACTGTGCATAGTAGACACATTGTTAGAAAGTTATCAAATAAATGAGAAAGGAAAGAAAACTGGAATGAAAAAACTGGGAAGAGGAGACGAGAATATGAATTTACAAAAGCAAAAACAATGAGCACATATGAAACAAATCAATATGATACAAAGCACTTTCAAATATAAACCAAGGAAAACCAAATTTTGTTTTCCAACTTTTGTACAGTATGTGCATAGATGCTGTGGTTTGAAGTGAAATGTGCCCCAAAAGCTCACTTATTTAAACACTAGATCCTCAGGTAATGGTGCCGTTTGGGTAGGTTACAAACCCTTAAGAGATGGAACCTCCATTGAGGAAGCTGATCACTGAGGGCAAGCCTTGATGCTTTATGGCATGGCTACACTTCCTGTTCACCTCTGCTTCTGAGTATGAAAGCAATGTGACCAACAAGCCTCC